AATATTATTATCTTTAATTTTACTTAGTATCACTTTTGAGATTTTATTGATATAAAATATGTTTTATATGTAACAACGATTGATTTAATTTGAGTGACCGACAAGGTCTCGCTTTATTTCATTTAGATTGTATAAACATTACAAATGAAGAAATAAAACTATCTAAGACTAGGTCTACTGATTAACCTATCGCCGTTAAAAATAAACTAAGGTTTACTTCTAAAATTAGTAGGTTTCCACCGCCACGGTCCCACTAATATCTAAGCTTAAAAATAAAGAAGATAAAATGTATGAAAAAGAAGTGTTTGTTACATTTAATAAGTTGTCTAATGCTGCTTCTATTACTTTAGGCTTACGTGTTTCTAATTTTTTTTTTATTTTTTCGTAGTTTTCCTCATTTCTTACATACTGTGCTTTTGTATTTCGTTTTGTTTCAGCTGTTATATTATTATTTTCTTCCCATTTATTTACTATTTCACATTGTTCTAACCATTTTTTATGTATTTTTTTTGTAAATTCTTGAATTATATTTTTAATTATTTTTTCTATTTCTTTTGTTTTATAAAATATTTACTAAGATTATTATCTGCAGAAATATTATTGCAAAGTAATGGGGTTTTACCTCTACTAGAATTTGATATGGAACTTTGTTCCTTATTTTGCATTTTTTTTTGTCATCTCCACCAATTATAGGTTTTGTTATATTCTCTGATTTTAAATGTTTCAGCTCATTAAGTTTCGATGCCAATTCATTTTTTATATTTTCTAATTTAGATATTTTAGATTTTAGAGTCAAGTTTTCAGATTCTTTTTTTGATAAGTCTTCCTGAATTGATAATGTATCTTTCTGAGCTGAAGCTAACTTATTTCCTACTAACTCGTTTATAGTCTGGAGAGATTTTATTTTTCTTAATTGAGTAACATCCCTGACTTTATATTCAGCATTGGAAATCTGTAATTGGTTAATTTAAGATGTTAAAGTATTTAACTCTGAACTCAATCACTTAATCTCATCTATAAGTTGATAGATATAATTACAAATAATCTTAAAATCATGAAAACTAACACAAATTATCTTAAAATCATAAATACTAGTTATAAATTATCTTAAAATTGTGAAAGTTAATTATGAATCACTTTAAAATTGTAAAAACTAATTACAAATTGTTTTAAATTGTGAAGGCTAATTATGAATTGTCTTAAAATTATCAATACTAATTACAAATCACTTTAAATCATGAAGGCTAATTACAAATCATGAAAGCTAATTATGAATCACATTAAATCATAAAGGCTAATTATAAATTATTTTAAAAATCATGAAAGATAATCTTAAAATCATAAAAGCTAATTATAAATCATCTTAAAATTATGAATGTTTAATTATAAATCACCTTAAAATCATAAAAGCAAATTACAGATTAGCAAGAAATTGCCTTAACAAAATATTTTAAATTGGCTGAAATATGTTCAAATCAAATAGAAATCACCTAAAAATCAACTTAGTTGATTTAAAAATAGGAAATATGATTTATGAAAGAAATCAGAAAATCTGATTTTTAAGTAATTTGTATCAAAAAATCATCAAAAATCATCAGAAAATTGGTCAAAAATTGGACATCCAATTTTTGACCATTTGATCTGTAAGGATGGCATTGGATGTATTACAAAGATTACATAAAACAAATTCCTAATGAAGAATGGAGAGAAATTCATGAAAATTCAGAGTTTTGTCCTTAGGAAGAATTCAGTTTCAAAATGACTTAATACTTAAGGATTCCTAAATGCAAAAAATATTATGTTCATTGCTTATTCTATTTTTTTACTTCACCTTGAGATGCAAATTTATATAAATTTATATAAAAACAAGTTGTGTTTTATTATGTGTATTTTTTTTGGCTAGAATTGAAATACACACTGCTAGGCAATTTTCATTTGACTACTCTTTTAACTGTTAATATTTAATAAATTAATAAAATAATCAAAGTAGGCATGACTTTAACAATTATATTTTTTATTTTCTAATTATTATCTATTAAATATTTTATTTTTATGATAAAACCACCATTCTTGTATTATAGATGATACCTTATTGTTTTGTATTTATCCCTAAATTATGAGTATTTTTTTTTAATTCACTTACAAGTATTTTCTAAATCTTGAATTAATTTATCAAACTTTGATTTATGTATTAAGAATAATTTCATTGCTGGTTCAATACCAAATTCAGTAAACGTTCTTCGAGAATCTGATACTGCTTCTGATTGTTTGGTGAATTTAAAATTTAATTGATAATCTGTATTCTATTATCATTATTATATTATTATTATTATTATTATAAATTTTTCAATTAAAATCATAAAAATAATAAAAATAACAAATAAAACAATAAATATATATAAACATGAGATAATAAAATAAAATAATTTACTTGTTCAATTATTTCATCTTCGGCATGAAAATAAAAGATTGTAGGTTCCAACTATAATTTAATAAATTTATTAAATAATTTAAGAAAATGAATTTAATGATAAATTAATAATGATATTTTTATTATATACTTTTGCTTTCTTTTTTCTTTTTCCTTGAACATTCATTTCTTCATCTATAGTGGATGCAACTTCCCTATAAGTTTTAGAAATAATAAGATACCACTCAAATTCATATGATTCATTCTAATATAATTTAAGATAAAAAATTTAGTTTTTCCATATGTGAATGCTATTACATAAATGATATAAATAATATAAATGATGAAAATTGGATACTTGCATCATCGACAGCCCATTGAATTTCTTCCTTTAACATTTTATACATTGGAGGAATAAGTTGTACTGGCATATTAATTAGTCTTTCGCTCAAAATTAAACCAACATCATGTTTATTTTCTTTGAAAAGGTTGGTAAGAATATCATTTAATCTAGAATCTTTTTTTGTTTTTTCTAATAAATAATTAACAAGGCTTTTCATACATTGTCTTTCCTATATTAATAATACTATGTTATTTTCTTTCAACTTCTTTTTTGATGATGTTTCCTTTCTTTTCCCCTTAAGAAACTCATTTAAATTTTTTCTTTTTTTTGTAATATTAAAATTTTAATTACCTTATGTACTTTCATATTAAGCACAGTAAGTATAGCATAAGGATCTGATTCGGATCCATCAACTTTAACTGTACTGCCCACCAAAGGTTGTTCAATGATTAACTCTGTTAGTTCACTTAAATTAAATAATTCAGAATCTGAAGAAAATAATTGATTTAATAAATTTTTTATTGAATGAAAATCAATTTTTTTTGGATCATAAAAATCAAAATCTATTTCTACAGATTCTTCTTCCTTAATGTAAAAAATATAATAATAAAAAAATTAAAAAGTAATTTATTATAGATTTAGATGTTTTGAAAAGAATAATTGTTGTCAACAAATATATTAATAAAAAAATTTACCTTCAAATTATCATCAGTTGCTTCATCAACATCATGCCGATCTTCTCCGTCGGATGCATTCGATATATCCATTGCATTAAGATAATTAATATTGGCTATTTTTCGTTTTCCCATTTCGATTTTCGATTTTCGATTTATAACAGTCCAAATGTAAAATTATGTTGATCAAAAAAAAAATTATCTCTACGTTAACCATACATATTTAATTTGTACAACGATGATAAAATGTGATCTGAGCTCTAACTATAGATGTAATTGTAAATTTAAAATTCAAACTAGCGAGTATTTTTTTTTCTAGTAGCCACCTGCCACTAAAATATGACTGGCGTAATGTAATAGATATATTTACATAAATTATAATGTTATACAATATATGATTAAATAATCAAATGGGGTCTGAATTCAGAAATAAGCTCTAATCTTTGATATTTGAGTATTTCTTTACATCGCTCGCGATTTGCGAAGCGTAAAGACTAAGATATTCCTAAGATGGAAAGAAGGGCCTAGTTCTTGGCTACAAAATTATATGTGCATCATTCCGGTAGTATTGTTATTCGCGTTTAAGCCGACGTCCGTGAAAATTTCTGTCATAATTCTGGCCAGAATTAC